ATTTGTGTGGCATCAGATTTGATGCAGAACAGCTGATTGTTCTGCAAATAGTTTGAAATGTTTGTTTGTGTGTTCGCTCAGACACATGAAAAATTAGAGGGAACATTGCTTCCAGGTGGTCTCTGTGTGGCCTCGTCCACTTTCAGCACTGCTGATGTTTTATTATCACTCTGTGGAAGTCCGGTTTCCCCCGGTTTAATTTTTTTCTTTAAATATAGACTCTGTGCACAAGTGTTGGTGAACACCTCTGAGCCTTTGAATTCAAGTGTTTCAGTCACAGGTGTATAAAATCAAGCACAGAGAAGGTAAAGTGCATAAACATGAATAATGCTCTGTTGACTCAGTAACTGCAGAGGTCCAAACTTCAGCTAGCATTAGCATCAAAATCAGTTTTCATAATCCACCATAATAAAAACTGTATTTCAAGTTTTCTGATCTTTTTGTGGTCGTCTTCCTCTGACATGCCAGGAGCTTCACGCCCTGGTTCCTGTAGGCAGCTCCTGTAGGTGCAGTGTGTAGGTGACCCAGCAGATTTGTCTGTACAGTGTAGCTTTGTATAGATTATTTCTGTTTGAATACACATATTTATCAATGCAGATCATTTTAAAGGCAGCTTCATAAAGAATCGTAACCTCTCCTGCTGGTAAGCCGTCGTTTTGTGTTTTCATTCCAGACATCATAGTGCTGATAGCGTCAGTGGCGGTGGTGTCAGCAGGTAGCCAGGGCAACATCTTTGCCACGTCAGTCCTGCGAAGCCTGCGTTTCCTGCAGATCCTACGAATGGTGCGAATGGACCGAAGGGGAGGCACCTGGAAGCTGCTGGGCTCTGTAGTCTACGCACACAGCAAGGTAGGCGAGGAGGGCATCTGCAGATCATCGAGCTTCTGATCAAGCTTCAAGATGTTTCTGTAACGCAATGTTTATACGATTAAAACAATTAAAGGTGTTAAAGATGAAATGTTATGCAGTATTTATTTATTTTTCAACTAGTAGACTAATCTTGCATGATAGTTTGATTGCTCTTCCTTGCTATTTTGAGGTCACAGAGGTTTTCATGAGCATTCATCACCTACCTAAATGTTCCTGATAAAGTGTACACCAGCACAGCTGTGTTCCTACAGCGTTGTTCGAGCAGAGCAATGAGTCAGATTAGCTGCAGTCCCTGATTTGCAGGTAACACCGGGCACATTCAGAGTTCAGAGCAGGCAGCTCAGCACATCAGGAAGTTGGTCGCAGTGTTTGATCTCATTTATGTCTAAACCAATAAGGGACTGCATCAGAGGAAGGTTCTGTAAAGGGTCGTGACCTATCACGTCATTATTTTATTTCTGTTTCTGACCTCAGTGTTCAGAGAAAAGCGGTTTTAGGTCGATCTGTTATATGCCAGAGTGGTTGTGCATTAAATAAATGCTCCTTTTTCCACCATTAAACTCTGAATGACCTCTTTGACTTCTGCAGGAACTGGTAACCGCCTGGTACATCGGCTTCTTGGTCCTCATCTTCTCTTCGTTCCTTGTCTACCTTGTGGAGAATAAGTTCAACAATGAGTTTGCTACGTATGCGGATGCCTTGTGGTGGGGCACGGTGAGTTTGGAGGAATTTCTGTACTTTAGTAAAAAGTAGGGCTGGGTA